TTCCAAAAATTCTGTTTTCACTTTTTTCTCCCATTCTTTGTGTTTTTTTTAAATCTCTTCCCTCTCCTCTACTTCTTTGTTCTCCTCCCCACTTGAACATATTCTTACTTTTCAATATCTATCTTTCATTTTGCTCATTGTTGACCCTTTGAGTTTGTCACACAAGAGAAATAATGTGATATTTAAACTTCTGTGTCTTATTTGTTTCACTTAAAATTGCAGTCTCAAGTTATATCCATTTATCTACAAGTAACCCAAGTTTATCCTTCTTTATGGCAGAGTAGTATTCTCCACTGTATATAATTACCACATTTTCTTTATCCACTCATCAGTTGAAGGCCTTAGGCTGTCTCCAAGACTTAGCTCTTATAAACTGTCCTGGTATAAACATGGGTATGCAAGTATCATTATGGTATAAAGCTTTTAACTCTTTCAGGAAAATGGTTAGAAGGGGAATGGCTGGATCAAATGAAACCTCTAGTTTGAATTTTTTGAGGAATCTCCATACTGGTTTCCACAGTGATTATACCAGTTTAGACTCCAACCAGCAATGGAGGAAGGTTCTTTTTCCCCTGTAGCCTTGGCTGGTATTTGTAATTGGTAGTTTCTTGATGACAGCCATCCTTTCTGGAGTGAGATGGAATCTTGGTGGTGTTTTAATTTGTATCTCTCAAATAACCAGTGATATTAAATATTTTTTCATAAATTTATTTGCTGTTTCTACTTATCTGAGAAGTGTGTATTCATTTTAGGTGTCCTTTTTAGGACTGGGTCTTTGAATTTGAGGAGGATCTGTAGCTGTTGTCGTTATTGTCTTTTATGTATTCTAGACCTCTGTGTAGGGAATAGTAACATTTTTTCCCCATTATATGGGTTGTCTTTTCACTCTGCTGGTGGTTTATTTTGCTGTGCAAAAGCTGTTTAATTTGATGTGATCTCAGTTGTTGATTCTTCATAATATATCCTGTGCATTTAGGTTTTGTTTATAAAGTCTCTGCTTATACCTATGTCTTCCAAAGTTTTATCTATTCTCTCCTCAGCACTCTGTTTCTGTGGTTACATTTAGATCTTTGATTCATTCTGACTTGCATGGTGGTATAGGTTTACTCTTTGGCATGTGAAAAGCCCCAAATTAAAAAACATTCTTAACTACTTCACAATCCTGTATGCCAATAAGTTGGGGATTGCAAAACAAATAGAGATGCCTAGATACATATGAATTACCAAAATTGAACTCAGATGATTTTAAGTCCCTGAATAATCTAATGACAGGCAATGAAACTGAAACAGCAAAAAATAACCAACCAACTAAAAGGTCTGAACGATAAACTGCTGAATTCTATAAAAACTTCAGGAAAGTTCTAACACCAATACATGTCATGATTTTTTAATGAAATTGAAGTAACTCCCAAAGTCATTCTTTGGCAAATTATTATTACTCTGAGTCCAAAACTAAAAAGAGAACTCTAGGCCAGCCTTTTTAGTGAATACAGATGCAAAAATCCTCAATGGGATACTGACCATACATCATGAGCAAGAAAGCTTCATGGTAGGAATGCAAGGATGGTTCAATATAGGCAAATTGATAAATGTAATACCTCACATAAATAGAAGGATAAAAATCACAAGATCATATCAATACAGAAAAATATCTTTGACCAAAATCGAACACCCTTTCATGATAAAAAAAAAAAAAAAAACCAAGAAAATAGGTATGGAAGAAACTTACCACAATCTGATAAAAGCCATATGGCAAACCTAGTGTCAATATCATCTTAAAGCTTTCAGCTTCCCCTCTAAAATCAGGAACAAGAAAAAGATATCCACTATTACCACCCCTGCTAAACACAATAATCACAATATTAGCAAGCGCAGTTAGTCAGGAAAGAGAAATAAAAGGAATATAAATAGGAAAGAAACAAATTATCCAGGTAATCCGACCAGAAGTCAAATTATCATTATTTGCAGCGGACATGATCCTAACACGTAAGGCTCAAAAATTCCATTAAAAGACTCCTAGAATAAATAAATTCAGCAAAGGTATAGGACATAAAATCAACACACAAATATCAATAGCATTCCTTATACACCAACAATGAACCCACTGTGAAAAATAGGGAAAAAATCTAAATAGTACCAAGAAAAATTAAATACAAATTAACCAACTAAGGGAGTGAAAGAAATCTATAATGAAAATTACAGTACTCTGAAGAAGGTGATCAGAAAATGGGGTCTGGGGATTTAGCTCAGCAGCTCAAGTACTTGCCTGGTAAGCATGAGGTTGTGAGTTGAAACCCAGTACCAAAAATCAATCAATCAAACAAACAAACAAAAACAGATCAGAAAATAAAAAGATATCCCCTTTTCCTGGGTAGAGAGAACCAATATAATTAAAGTGTACATATTTGATATACAGATTTAATGCAATTCCAATGAAAACACAAACAGCATTTTTCAACAGAACTGGATAAAGCAGGGCCAGGAATATAGCTCAGCAGCACAGCACCTGCATGACAAATGCAAGGTCATGAGTCAGATTCCTGGTACAAAACAAAACAAAACAAAAAAAAAACTGGGTAAAACAATCCTGTAATTCATATGAAACCAAAAGAGAGCCAGAATTACAATCCTGGGTAATAAGAGCAGAATGGAAGGCATCATCACAGTCTCAGCCTTGAAGTTATCTATACTACAAAGCCATAGTCGATATAAACAGCATGGTACTGACACAAAAACAAACATGAGGATCAACGGAACACATTAGAGGATGCAGAAATAACCCTAAGCACATTTAACTAATTAAAATTTGATAAAGGACTGAAACATACACTGAAGGAAAGACTGCCTTTTTAATAAATAATCTTTTAACCTTTTCAATAAATAGTCCTGGGAAAACTGGTTATCCACAGGCAGAAAATTGAATCTAGACCAGTATTTCCCACCATGTATTAAACTAAAATAAAAATGGATCAAAGATCTAAATGTTCAAATAGAAACATTTTAACCTGCTGGAGGACAAAATAGGTGAAACTCTTGAAATCATAGGCATAGGCAAGAACTTTCTAAACAGAACACCAGTAGCATAAGAAATAGTACTGGGATCATATTAAGTTAAAATGCTTCTACACAGCAAAAGAAATAATCAACAGCATGAAAAAACAATCTACAGAAAAGGAAGAAAACTTTGCCAGCTATTTCTCAGACAGACAACTCATATCTAGAATACATAAAGAAGTAAAAAAAGTAGAACTCCCCCAAAAATAAAAGACCCAAGCAAATATTGGCAAGTTAAATGAAGAGATACTTCTTAGAAGTACAAATGGCCAATAAAAACATGGACACAGCTAGCCACTAGAGAAATGCAAATTCAGACAACACTGAGATTCCATCTTACTCCAAAAAAAATGGCCATATCCAGAAATTAAATAATAAATGCTGAAGAGACTGTGAGGGAAAAGAAATCCTTCTACATTGGTGGTGGGAATATAAACTAGTGCGATTACTATGGAGAGTCCTCAAAAACCTAAAAACAGAAATTCCATTTCTAGGGATCTTCCCATTAAGAGTTAAAGACATCACAGTACAGCATACCCATATTTACAGCAGTATAACTCATAATAGTTAAATTTTGGAAGCAATCTATATGTCCATTAATAGATGAATAAAGAAACATGGTATGTACATAAACTTGAGTCATTTGTAGGAAAACAGGTGTACCTTGAGACCATAATATTAAGTAAAATAAATCAGGCACACACACTTAAATATTGCATGGTTTCTCATGCATAAGAAACAAATTATAAATAAAGAACAATAAAAGATAGATAATAGGAAATAGGGAGCTACTTCTTCCTTCCAAGGGGAAGGGGAGCAAGAGATGGCAGGGGTGAAAAAAAGTAACTGGGATATGTTATATACATGTACCAGCCTCTCACAAAGAATATAAACAGTATGTACTACTAACATGTACTAATAAAAACAAAAAAGGAAATGCCTAGCAGATTAGCCAAGCACTCCCCTAGGTGAGTGTGGGTGAGTCATGGAGGCATTACCTTGGGTATAGAGAGTCCCTTGCTTCTGCCTCTCTGGACTTGTATCCTGGCCACCATGAACTGAGCAGCTTTTCTCAGCCACATCCTTCCCCCTTGATGCTTCTGTCTTCAAGCCAGTTGATCAGAGATCCAAAAATGTGAGCTAAATTAAACCATTCCTCCTTTAAATTGTGCAAGTTGGGTATTATGTCTCAGTGATGAAAAATCTGACTAATTCACTAATGTTTTGTCATAATGCAACAGTAATTTGAAAATAATTATGTTGCTCTAGATTAAAGTAAAATCTTTTTGAAAAAGTACACTTTTTATTTAACAAGAGACAATGCTACAAGTGAAGGAAAGCAAGATAAGCAGTGTAATTTAAAAAGTACAATGAATCTATTTATTGAATTTATAGTGTAAAAGACACATCGCCATCAATTCTCCCACAAACTACTCCCCCTCACCTCAAACACATTTATCTCATCATTCTTATCACTTTCTGAAGTCGTTTCTTAAAGATCTGTTTTATGAATATCCTTGGCTGTACTATCGTAAGTATCTCTATGTCCTAAACTGATTTGAAACCTTTATTACCTCTTTCAAGTCATTTTAACTTTAGGGAGGAGCCAACGTAGTGCTAGATCTGTTGAATAATGCAGATAAGGACACAACATAATGTTTTTATAAGCTTGCTTTTCTACTGTATGGTACCTAGTTGCTGGAAGAGAATTTCTAGAACTACTTCAGAAAGTGGCAAGAATGATGGAATAAAGTATAGTCAAAGTGAGGGGGAGTATTTAGAGGGAAATTAATGGAAACGTGTTTTTTACTGTAATTAATGTTCTTAATTTTAAAATGTGCCATATATTTTGAGCATCTCTTATCTACACATCATCACTTTCTATAAAGCTAGCTGTTTTTCTCAAGATCAATCTCTAAGAAAAATAAGAACACTGATTTTCATACCTTTTTCCCTTTATGCACGTGGTAAGGAACAGACTCTGTGCTTACTCATGCTTACTGCATCACCAGCTAGTGCTGCTAGTTCGATATGCTCCGTTTGATTCTAAAGAAAAAAGCAGGTTGTTAATTATATTTGCTAAAATAATAGCCCTGATTTTCATCATATAAAGCTATCACAGCAGACAAAAGCAATAGGGCTTAACAATAAATTATGACACCTTGGAGATTCAAAGATTCAATCAGCATTGGAGAGCAACAGCAATAAATGTTATTATCTAAGAAGGTCAGAAGTTAAGTCAAGAAAGAGTTAGTAATTTCTATACACTTATTTTCAATTGATAACATACAGTAAAAACACCAAGCAGGCACTTTCTACCTAGTGATTTCAGCTATGTAGATACATAAAAACACCATTTATGTTATAATAGAACTTCTAAGAATCCAAAGGTAAGAACAAGTGTTGCTTTAAAAGAATGTCCTCTGTATGATTTTTTTCATATACATACAACTTTTTTTTCCAGTACTGGAAACCAGGGCCTTTGTACTAAGCTATATCCCCAGATCATTTTTTGATTATTTCTTTTTGATTTTGATACAGGGTCTCACGAAGTTGCTAAGTAGTACAGGTTAGGTTCCAATCTTCCTGTCTCAGCCTTCCAGAGTAGTAGGATTCTTAAATTAGGTCTCAAAAGCTCCCTCCTGAGATTTTTATTGTCAAGGAATTGTTTTTCCTCCAAATGTATTTGAAGTCCAATTTTCTTCTACTTAAAAGCATGATTCTATTTATCCTCCATTAACCTGTATTATCATTGGTACACAAAAGACTAAAATGTGGTTATTTCTTCTGATGAATATATTACTGTATCCATAAGTCAGAGTAGTACAACTTAAATGTTACTCTGTAACTTCTCCAAAAGAACATAAAACTCCTTAAGGACCTAATTTAGCCTTGAACAAGACTAGGAGTTTAAACTAAACAAAATAAAACCAAGAATATCATGGGATATAGCTTACAGCAAGACCCCCTGGGTTCGATCCCTAGTGTGTCAGGGGTAGGGTACAAGATTATCCTATTATCAGTATAAAATGTCTAACAAATAGGATTTCCAGAATAGCTAAGTATCTTATAGGTAGTCTAATGAACACCACTTTAACTTTAAAAATAAACTGAGGCACCAGAAAAAGCTTCCTGACATATTATGAATACTTTATCTGATATGAAAATCATATGCTTACTAAAAGGATAAGACAAACACCTAAGATTCAAGTTTCCAGAGATGAATAAAGAATATAGAATGAAAATACTAGTGACACTATTTTGTCTTCAAGAACTTACAAAATATGTATATTCTATGATATACTCTAAGTCTATTAAGAAATAGCCATCTAGGGCCGAGGATTTAGCTCAGTGGCATAAGCGCCTTCCTGGCAAGCACGAGGTCATGAGTTTGATCCCTGGTACTGCAAAAAAGAAAAAGAAATAGTCATCTATCAAATAAAGGACTAAATCAAATCAGAAGTATGAAAGCGCTGCATGGAGTAACATACCAGGATCAAAATGAGGATGAAGTAAGAAATAACCTCCCTCCCTTTAATGCCAAGTTAACTGAAGTTTTGTTTTGTTTTTGTTTTTGTTTTTGTTTTTGTTTTTGTTTTGGTACCAGGAACTAAATTCAGGACCTTGTGCTTGCCAAGCAGGTGCTTACGCAGCTGAGCTATATCCCTGGTCCTTGAAGATTTTCTTAAAATCAACTCTATAAACTCAATGTCAAATTTTGTACATGAGTGTATATAAATTTTTGCTCTTTTTTTTTTTTAATTTTATTTAAGGAGAAAAGAAAAAAAAAGTACGGAAAGGGTACAAGTTATACAGATTTACAGAAAAAAAAATGAACAGTAGGAAATCACTAGTTAATGGATTACATATTGTCATCTTAGAAATAATTGTTCAAGTCACAAAATTAAAGCTTGTAAAGTGGACATTCCATCAATGATACTGCAAACAGTTCTGTTCATTGATCCAATAAAACTCTGTGATATCATTTTCTATCTTATACACTTAAATATACATGCAGTTATATAGTTTGGAGCACTTTCTTTTCCTCTCTTTTGTACCATGACTATTACACATTTTGGATTTCATTGCTCCCACGGTTCTTATTACTTTTTTGGAAGAGAGTAAAACCAAATGTGACATAACAGAACAGAATCGGTCAAGTCAAAAGGGTGGACATAATAGATAATGTAAAAACATAATACAAGGTGATCAACAATGGTTACCATAATGCCTCCCGCTATCTCTAATAGAATTGCCTATATCGTTAGTTATAATACAATTGAACAAAACAGTAAAGACTAAAACCGACAAAACCAAAACACTGGAGACATTGTAGGTCTTCAAAAGTAGATAAAAGTCAACAAGAATGGGCATCATAATGAATCTCATCTTCACAGCTGATGTCTAAACTTTCGAACCTGATACTATCCAGCAAAACAGAATAGGGGAACATCAGTTAAAAACCAGATGGTGAGAGTAATACAGGGCTTTAAATCAAGGTAATGAAAAGTCAAAGTGGGTTACTATAATATATCCTGCTATTTTTTTCCTTTAATTAAAAGGATAAAGATAAAAAAGTAAATAATGGAGTGGAGATTGAGATAAAAGAGGGCATAACAACGAAACAGCGCAGATCAAAACATAACCATTTAAGCAGAATAGTGTTTCACCACCAGATAATCCTAACCTAAAAGTAGTTACCATATTGTCTCTTTCTTTGAAATCCTTGAGTACAACTTCGTATACTGTAGCATTAAGTATATCAAAACAATGTAAAACCATTCAAGAGAATGACAGCATTACAGAGTATTTAGAATCGACTAACAGAAAATGAACAATGGTTTCTGTATAATCTCCTTGTCTTTAAAAGGTTTTTGCTTATACTATTGTACATAATAAAATCCAATAAGATACAGTCTATTTAGACCACTGGAGACAGAAGGACAAAAGCTAGATGAGACTTCAAAACAAGATGATACTAAATCAGTATTACCTATTAAGATGTCATTTTCTCCAAAATAGCTGTTCCTATCATCCAATCTTCTCTGCCTCATTTCTGTTGAGCTCGTTTTCTGTCAGTAGCTGTCAGTTTGTCTTCTTCATTTTGTTCTCTGCTCCATTCGTTGTGGCCTCTCTGCCATTATTTCTGGATTCTTTGTATTTTTCTTTTTTTAGAATATCCTGCAATACTCTCTGTAGAGTTGAATTGGTGGTTGCAAATTCCTCCAGTTCCTCTTTATCCTGGAAGCACCTTGTTTTTCCATCAATTTCCAGGGACAGTTGTGCAGGATATCTCAATCTTGGCTGGAGACTATTATCTTTCAAAGCTTGAATTATTTCCCCCCACGCTCTTCGTGATTTGATGGTTTGTTCAGAGAAATCTGCTGTAATTCTGATGGGTGTTCCCTTGTAAGTGGTCTGTTTCTTGTCTCTGACAGCTTTTAATATTCTGTTCTTGTATTGAATTTCTGGAATTTTTATTATTATATGCCTGGGTGTTGCTCTGTTTGGGTTGTAGGTAGCTGGGGTCCTGTATGCCTCATACATCTGAGTATCTTTACCTTTTGCTAAATTAGGAAAATTCTCCTGGATTATTTCTGTGAGTAGCTTTTGTAGTTCACTTGTTTGTGTCCCTACTTCTTCTTTTATGTTCTTAATCCTTAAGTTATGGATCCTCTTATCATCTTCTTGTCTTTGTATTATTGCTGTTTGTTTCTTTGTTATTTTTAAGAAGTTTTTCATTTCATTCTCCCATATTACAAGTCTGCCCTCCAGTTCAGATAGTCTGTCCTTAGTTTCTTTCAAGCTGTTATGCCAGTCTTCGATAGACTTCTTAGTATCTTGGTAGTCTCTTTGAACCTGCTTCACGTATTCTATGCTTTCTCTGTTTTCTCCATCAAACAATTCTCCCCTTTTTTTCTGTTCTTCCATTCCACCGCCTGTTTTTTCTTGGGTGGTACTTAGCATTTCTCTAACTATTCTGCATACTTCTAGCTTCAGGTCGTTGATAACTTCATTCCTGAATTGGTCTATGAGGCTCTCTATATGGCGCCTTATGTGTATTGGTGCGGTGTCTGCTATTGCCTGTTTCTCAGAATTGGGGGCCGAGGAGTCTTTCTTGTTGCTGCCTCTTCCCATATTCTCTGTTCCTTATATATGCAAGCTTATATAAGAGGCCCAGCTTTTCTCCCCATCAGCCACAGCCTGATCGAATTGCGCCGGTTAGGTGTTCCCGCTCACCGCTGCGCACCAGGGAGTTACGGACCAGGCAGCCTACGCGTCTCCCCTCCCAGCCACCGTCAGGCTCTGGGATCTGGGTTGGGACAGCCTACCAGGTCCGCCGGCAGCGTCATGCAGGCCAGGCACTTTTCACCAATCCCGCCCGAGAGGGGGATGTGTGGCTGGAGTCGCCACCGCGCCCTGCTCCCGCAGGACTGCTCGGGCCCAGAAAGTCCTCCGCTGGAGTCAAACTGTGGTAGAGTGTCAGTTTCTCTCACTCACCTCACCACAAGTCAGTGCACGCCTCCCTGCCATTCGCAGATTGCCGTTCTCAGAGCTTCTGTGTGTCTCTCTCCTTGCCGAGCCACTGTAGTGGCAGCCAGCCGCCGCGCGGCGGGAAACCCAAATCGCGGCTTACAATGGCGCGGGGTCCAGCCTCCACACTGAGGCTTTTCTGTTCCTGTTTTAGCACCAGGACTGCATTCCAAGTTGGTTTCTCTCAGCCCAGTTCGTTCCTGAGTCAGCAGAGCATATCTCCACCTGCTTATGTCTCCTTAGTCCGCACCATTCCTGGATTCTGAGCCGAGTCTTTCAGAGAGCCTCCGGTAGTTGCTGTTATCTGTCCGCCATGTTCTCCCGGAAGTCGAGTGTATATAAATTTTTAATGTATGAGGCAAGTCCAGTAATGTAATGGTTACTTTTATATGTGTAATTAATTTTATGTTTCAACTTGACTGGGACTCAAGGAACTTACATGAAACACTAATCCTGGATGTGTCCATGAGAGTGTTTTTGGATGATTAACATCTGAATTAGTGAAATGAGTA